GCTGGGGGCAGATCCAAATTATAGACTATGGGCTCAAGTGCCCCTGCTAACTTTTAGAATTTCTTATAGTTATTGTACTTTGCTTTATTTCCGCCTTTGCCATTCATCTATATATCTGTATCAATAGTCATATATTATTAAAACCTATAGCAAGCTGCAACATTCATAAGCTGTACATAGTGTGGCTTGTTATGTGAGATTTCATATAATATAGGGAACCCATTGTCTAGTTTAATAGTTAATCGTGTGGCTGAAAATTACAAAAGTATCCCAAAGACATAGTTGACATGCCAATCAAAAAACGAGAAATTTTGTTTACTCATTTGGACCCCAATAACCATTAAAGAAAATGAACTTTCTATTGTGAGAATCATCCAATATCCAATTTATTGGCTAATTAGGATTCACATTGAAAAAGTCCCTAATGGACGGAATCAGGGATGCTCCCCTGGCATAACCTTTTTCCAGTTACAAGATTTGAACTTGAGACCTTTCATAATCAGTAAAGAGCTCCTTCTACTCAACAACCTAACCATCATAGATAAAAAAAAAAAAAAATAAACTTTCGATACAAATATAAGAAAACGAGTTTAGATGCCACCCAGAACAAGGATGCCATCAGTCCCACTAATGCTAATTCCGCATCCCAAATACTCTAGCAAACAAACTAGAAATTTACAATAATCTAATGGAAGTAAACCATAAACGTTAGCACTACTTAAGTTGCATTATGGCATTATCAATAACTGGTAATCAATGCAACGAGCATACAGAAGGAAATCCTAAGCATGATTCTCCAATACTTATGATGTCTACATAAACTTAAGCTACAAAGAAGCTAAAATTGTAGGATCAGTTGATTAATCTTCATCTATTGAACCTTACCAATCCATTTTAATAATTTATTTCTGAACAAATCCAGTTTCATCAATCATCTTTTTTCAATTCTCTCAACCTAAAGATCAGTTATTTATTCTTAACCTTTTTCTTCATGCTTTGTTAAGCAAAGAAGTAGCTTTCTACTTTCTAGTCATCAGGACATCCAGTCCCAGATAGCTTAATGTGAGTGCACACAACATGTCTTTAACCACTCTTACACAAACTAAATAGCTGTCACATTCTAGTCAATATTCTCCGTCTCCAGCTTCAATGAGGGTTATAAGCCATGACAAAAGAGTGCAAGTGCTAAGAAATGTATGAGTTCAGAGAACATCCCTTCTAAAATTGATTTTTAAATACAGATTAATCTCTAAATATTCATTTCGTCGACATTGTTCGTGTTTTGGGGGGGGGGAACTAAAACCTAGAGCTGGTAGAATCCAACCAATATGTTTTGCTACAAAATGGACTCATATCAAACTTTATGACATTTTGAAAGCATGCTCCATTTTTATGAATAAACAGTGAGTACACAAACTGAAACTCACACCACAAACACGCACCTACACAGAGAGCACAATCTGTGCAAGACTTTAAGTTGGATTCTAACGGAGGGAAGACAAGCACAATAAAGTTTACTTGGACCTCCAAAGAACGTATAGAACACCATGAACATGGTTTAGGATAGAAGAACATGAATACAGAATACACTCATTCGATTTCCTTCATTTATTGATCTTTTTATCTGTACTAACTTGTCTATACTCTAACAAGTGTACGGATATAGTTAAGTGCCAATAAATCTGAAAGCACACAGACAAGCATTAATATTGGGAGAATGGGAGGCAACTTTTAAATGTCTCTCGGGCTTTCTTTATTCCCTGTCTCTTGCCATTAACACAAATACCATGCATGACAAATACCTCCTATTCATCTTAGCTCATACCCTCAATTTCAGCCAAGCTTGATAGATAATGGTCTAATTAAGGTGACTATGTACTTAGGAAATCGAAAGGCAGATCGAAAACTTCAAAGAATCATAAATAGAGAGCTAATTTGTCCTCAAATCATTCCAAAATACAAGCCAAGTAGTGGATGACTTCTTCCACAGAATTATAGTTTCGACATTCAAGAAAATTGAAGGCTTAATCAAATGTAATTGAAACTTAACCGCGATGTGAAGTAAATAACAAGATTTGAAATGTACATGGAAGAAGCAGATTGCGAAGTCCTTACCACTCCAGCACTACTGTAGGTGGAGATGGTGACTTTCTGATCGGAGTTGTAGTCCTTGGTCAGAATGTCTATGAGCCAGAACAAATACATTCAATCATTTTGTCTCCGGTAAGAGCTACATATAAAATCGTTATGCAATTGAAAGAGATTGAGAGGAATTAGATCGTCTTCATAATGCAAAATCACCTTTGGCTTTCTTGCCGATATCCGAGAAGAGAACTGGCCCCTTGCTCATCTTCGCAGTCGCAGGCCTATTGCGCAGGGGTCTGCTTCAACCACTCGAGGAAGAACCGAATCGAGGTGCTGTGTGGAAATGAAGAATTGGTATATTTTTATTTTCGATGCAAATAAATCAATAATCACCAATAAAATATGTAATAGCGAATATGTTTGGTTGTCTAGCAGAGCTCATGCTAGATGCGAGCTGTCACTTTTTTCTTCCCCCACAAATGAAAAAGCTCAAGAGAGTTTGGCCCTAAGAATTTATAAAGATTAAAACATATTTTCAGAGTGCATACAATTACCCATTAACAAATTTCTCACATCCACAGCATTTAATCCCATAATGACATCATAAGTTATAAACAAAATTCTTACTAATTAAATTAACATTTGTTACTTATTGGTGCCAAATAAATTTAAAACATGACATGGAATGTTAATAAAAGTGGATCTGGTTGATGAATATTTGATTTCTAACTTAAAAAAATTGTGAGATTAAATCTAACTAATGATGTGAGGACCTTGTCATGGGTGATATAGAAATATTTTTATAAGCATTATTTAAATCTAGAGGCACACTTTAGTTATGATGTGTTCTAAAATTTAACTCACTTAAATTTTCATTTTAACAAAATAGGACATGATATAAATCAATATTTTTTCAGCCAAAGTTTTAACATATTTTGTTTATTTTTTATAATAAAAGTTTAGAAAAATTAGGTTCTAAAACCTTATCAGGACTAAGGCATATTTTCATATTCAAAAAACATTTATAGAAATAGTTATAGATTGACTGCTAAGAAGATACTCTTTTTATCTGAAATTATAAAGTACTTTTAGAGAGGATTCGATTTCTCAAAATATAAAATATTTTGATAAAAATAAAATTTTATCATCGATACTTTTTTTAATATTACCTTTTCTACATATTCTCTATCTTTAATATTCTTTCATCAATGAAGTATTAAATGAAGAGTATTTTTAAAAGTTTATATTTTTTTCTTAAACAAATAAGGTTATAAAATATATTTAACAAGCTTTATTAATATTTGAGATTTTATTTAAAAATATCTTATAATTTAAAATGAAGGGAGTACTTACATATTTTGTTTGTTTTAATTGTTAATTAAATTAATAGACATGATTGAATTGTAAATGGATTTAAAAGGGGGCATGATTAAATTGGATTGTAGACTTTGACTAGCTTTCGGTATCGGGCTTGGCCTATTGGCTGGAGGTTGGTGATCATGCTGCGGAGAGGGTTAGGTGTCAATATCATGCTCGCGGTTAATCCTACCTTACGTGAATTTAAGAATGATTCTTTTTTACATGCATGCCTTAAATTTTTTTTTTGCACCTTTTAATTTTTATTATTGAAAAGATTAAAATCTTATTTAATTATTAGGAAAAAATAAAATAAAAATAGATTGAAAATTTAAAATAAAAATAAATTAAATTATCTTTTCTTTCATGATAAGTAGGAGTGAGTAAAATTGAATCAAAACCAAAAATCAAATCAATTTTTTGTTATTTAATTTGGTCTATTCAATTTTTCAATTCGATTCTTGTTTTTTAATCTTTCTGTTGATTGGTTTGATTCGATTAATAAAACTTAAAATAGAATAGACCAAATCCACTAAATTATCATGTATATATATTTTATTAATTAACAAATTATATTTAGTTCATCAATTATTTTATTTTATTCTTTTAAATTTTATACATAAATAAAAGAAAATATATAATTTAATAAGTTGAAACCCTAACCCCTCATTAAAATAGGCAACTATCACTTTATAAGCCCAATTTTATATATAAGTTATGTCTATTTTAGTTAAAAAATAACAACATTGACCCAAGTCCAAGCGATCTAATATGAAATCCAAAATCAAATTCACCGATCAAATTGAGTTGTTAAATTTTGATTCGATCCTTATTCTGTTCAATTATTTTATTCGGTTTGATTTAGTTCATATTTTTTAATGTTGTTTGGTTGATCGATTTTACACATTTTGACATTGAATCAATAGATGCTTACCCCTAGTGATAAGTATGGTAAAACCCATTAATATATATTGTAAATATAAAAATTATCACACATTTTAAAAATTTTATAAATTATGATTCACAACCTCATAAATTAAATTATTCTTTCTTCTTATGAATGTACTCACTTATTTCCTTGATTCATTTTATTTCCTTTTTAATTCCATTATATTTTATCTTTTCTAACAACATGTTAACAGATTCCATGTCCAATTCCATTTCTTTTTCCATGAACTACCAAACGGGGCCTAAGAGTAAGTGATTGAATGTATTGTAAAAACCTTGTTTATTGTCTCATTCATTTCCTTTAACAATTGCAAGTGGAAAAACAAGTTAAAAATTTGAAAAGTACTACTATCTAAATAGATTTGAGGAAAAACATTAAAAAATTGCTGGTAAAAGCGTAAAAAAGTTTCAGTCAAAATTTACTTCTTTTGGTGGAAATTTAAAATTTCCTTCTTCCAAGAAGGATGGTCCCGGCACACGAAAGAGAGAGAAGCAAGATTTCTTAAAAAACAATTATCGAAAAAAAGATAAAAAAATAAAGCTAAAAGAAAAGGAAAAAAGAAAAAAGGAAAAAAAAAAGGAAAGGGGGCGTGACTCGTGAGTTGAAGAGGCATTGATGCTTCCCTGCATCCCTTTTTCTATTTGCGATTTAATGGCCATAAGGCCCTTCCATTTCACCTTCTCGCGTGATAAATTCTTTTCTCTTCTGCGCGCTCCTTTGCTTTCTTCTTCTTCTCCTCCTCGTTCTTGTTCTTGTCCTGCTTCTTCGTTTCCCTGGCGTTATAAACCATCGTTGTCCACTCGATTGTTTTCCCCTATTTTTTTGTTCCGTCACTTCGCGGCGTTAGCGGCAACTCCGTTCTCACGCGCTCGCCAGTGTTATCCGCCACCGCAGCCACACGACGACCCCCTGCGGTCGTTGTCACCATCCAACACTCTGGCGCAGAAGATTGGAAAATCCATTCGCCGACCGGGCGCTGCCTCGAAGGCGAGGGTTTATGCCGATGTCAACGTTGTCCGTCCTAAGGAATACTGGGACTATGAGTCACTTACCGTCCAGTGGGGGTAATAATCCGTATGGTAGAATTTGCTCCGATTTTTGATACCTATAGTTTTAGGTACTAAAGGCGAAAAATGCTGTAAAATGGAAGGGCTACTTGTTTCTGTACTTTTTTGTGTCCGGCTGATGAAAAGCCTTTCAATTTGTTTGTTATTAGTATATATCATCTGATTTTTTGGATATGATTAACAAATTGAGCTAATTTGAGGCATGATATTTGATATTATTTCAAGCGAGCCTCTTCTTATGCCAAGTGCTTTTTTGCTCAATACGAATGGATTGAAAGTTTAGGACCTGGTATTTACCTATTGGAGTTATCTTCAAAAGATATTGCTCACTTTTAGTTTATCTGCCTGTCGATGTTTATTATCATGACTTTCAGGGAGCAAGATGATTACGAGGTTTCGAGGAAGGTGGGAAGGGGGAAATACAGTGAGGTGTTTGAGGGCGTTCACTGCACGGATAATGAAAAGTGCATCATTAAGATTCTGAAGCCAGTGAAGAAGAAGAAGGTGACTTATGGCATAGAATATTTTTATCATTCTGCAGTTTGGCTTTTCTTTGTTCTGTATGCTACTTTGGTAGTTTGTTTGTTGCATTTCAATTGTTAGGTGATGAATGGATGTTGTCTGTGGCTGTCTCACTAGACAGGCATCTGGGCGGCTTATAAAATACGTGAGCATGCATTGTCAATGTATTATATTTTTGGGAACTTCGAAATGAGCTGGAGATGATAGGAATATCTATGAGGAGATGCCTATAATGTGTGTGTGTGTGTGTATTGTTTTCAGTTTGGGTCATTCTACTTACTGAAGTCCGTTTTATTTTGTAACATTCCTTTGATGCCTGATTTTTACGGCCATATCCATATCTGCTGCATTTACTAGACACCTATCATTGCACCCCGGGGAAAAAGTGAGAACCCACCCCCTCCCAAAAATAAAAAAAATAAAAAAAATGCAATGGCAAAACTGGTTGAAACATGTCTAAAATGGGTCCAAAGGTTTCTAATTCACTTTGAAACGTTTCTAAATACCAAACAATATTGAAAATCAGTTTAAAATACAACATAATATATGTATTGGTATCTAACCTTCAAAGTTCTGTTCATGCTCCCTATATCACATTCGGTCCACTCCTAATCTGAATGCAGATCAAGAGGGAGATCAAAATATTGCAGAATCTTTGTGGAGGGCCCAATATTGTAAAGTTGCTTGACATTGTTAGAGATCAGCAGTCAAAGACTCCAAGCCTTATTTTTGAATATGTTAACAATACTGACTTTAAAGTGCTCTATCCTACACTGTCAGACTATGACATACGGTATTACATCTATGAGCTTCTAAAGGTAAGTTGAATCTTCTCAAATTGCTTTGAGCACATCATGTTGTCTGATTTAACATTCATAGCTGTGGTAATCTTGTTAAATATCTCGACATCTTGGTTTTTTTCTTCTTTACTCTTAATGAGGTTAATCATTATGATTAATGGAATTTTCTTGTTTCGGAGCTAAGTTCAAATATACCTAAGCCACCTATTTTTGTCTTTAGTTGATGAACAATATGCCATGTTTGTTGGCGTCCTGTGACCTGAATCCTCAAGATGGTTACATACTAGCCGTCTTCAGGTTATTAGTTGAAATCAGATTGTTTCTCATGATTTTCAATTCAATTTTTTCTTACAATTTTGATATTTGTAGTGCCTCATGTACCAATCTTGATCATGAGTTTGTGAAAGTGTTTGATGGTGATGAATCCTTTACTTTGTCTTCCACAGAAGTTCAAAGTCCAGGATAAGAGCATGCTTTTCTGTCATTATTGGTTTTAGAAATATATAAAGCTTTGCCTGAAATATTTCACTGAAGAGATTATGATTTATAAAGCATGTTCGCACAAGATAGTGTATCTGTATGTACATATCTGCTCTTGTCATTTGGGTAACTTGATTGGGTTTTGTAGTCATGAATGCTTATATTTGGTGATTTATGATTTGATGTTTATCCTGTGCTACTTTCTTTGCATTTGTTTTAACTAGGCAACCACGTTATTTATCAAGTTGTTTTGATATATAGCTATTGCAATTTGATTAAATTGTAAGAGTTGATTTTTTTTTTTTTGAAACTTTTTTACAGGCCCTGGATTATTGCCATTCACAAGGAATCATGCATCGAGATGTAAAGCCACATAATGTAATGATTGACCATGAGCAGCGTAAGCTTCGCCTTATAGATTGGGGCCTTGCAGAATTCTATCATCCTGGTAAAGAATATAATGTTCGAGTTGCCTCAAGGTTTGTTTGCATGTTTAATTTGTTGTTATTTATTTATTTTAACTTTATGACTATAATCATGCTTTATAATGATTGATAGAATGCGTCATAAGTTATAACTACTACATTGAAAGTTCTATATTCCTTTATCTTGCAAATATTTATTTTTAACAATGTCTGTTGAATAGATGTAACTAATTTAGTAATATGTATCTTTAAAATGTAAATTCCTCCAATATCTTGCTCCCTCTCTTTCATTCTTTATTTGCAGCCAGACTCAAGGGGTTGGAATTATATGGAGGTTATATCAATGAAATGAAATTGACTACTCCGTCTCATTTGCATGGAAATAATCTCATACTTACAGATGGAGTTTACTTTGCCATCTGGGTTTCGACTTCCTGGGAAAGAATATGTGAGAAAGCATGTAGATGGTAGCGCTTATTAATAGCACTCCCTGATAACTTTTGTTTGGATGCAAATGTGGAGCAACTCTAGAGCTCTATTAACCCTGTATAATAATCCTTCATTCAGTAGAAACAGATAGAACCATGTATCAACTCATTAATCCATATTTCCATGCAAGGCATGACAGAAATAAGGAAGTAAAGATAGGAAAAGCAAATGCTAGCTTTTGAAAGGCTAGCTCCCTCCTAGATCCTTTGACCTAATTTTTCACTGCTCCCCCACAGCAAGGCACGATCCTGATGAGCTTATAAGGTCTGACCACTTTTGTCTCTCTTCCTGCTCACTCCTCTCGCAGCTGTAGACTAGTTATCATCATGAGTTACCCTTTCTGCCCCCAACCTCCTCACTCCCAGGGCTTCTATAATACACCTTTGATGATATAGTTTGATCGCTATCCTTGGGTCCATTTCCCTTTATATCCCCTCCTCCTCTGACGACTTCTCCTGCTGTAAGTTTTAGTAGTGCTGGTATCTCGAGTAAACCCTTCATGTTCCTTGTTTTAGTAGGAATATCAACTGATGCATCACTGTCAATGCATTATGGCAAAATAATGATTTCAGCTAGTTTTCCTTGACATATTAATGTAGCAATCTCTGCTGAGTTGGTATTAAAGTATTAGACCAACCAACCATTATATATAAATTGTCAGACTGAGTGTAATTAATCTGCTTTATGCATTAAATCTGCTATTGGCAACCGATGGGGAAAATTGGAATGGAATGACCTGATGACTATTGTCAGCTCATTGATTTCTTTGGCAAAAATATGTGGGCTATGGTTACTTCTTTTCTTCTGTATGTGAGTGCAGATGATTTTTTTCTGATCTATATGTGTGGGCTTATTTGTAATCCTAACTTGACAAGTTCTTGACTTTCATCATCTATTTAAACCCTTTTCTGTTTTTGACTCTTCATCATACATGTATTATTTGTAGATATTTCAAAGGTCCTGAGCTTCTTGTTGATCTTCAAGACTATGATTACTCTTTAGATTTATGGAGTCTTGGTTGTATGTTTGCTGGCATGGTAAGCAACTTGCTTCTTCATCTTTTTCTTTATGTAGTGCACTTTAATTGAAACCTCTTCCAGTGATGCACTAAAGATGTAGAAATAGGCTATTCAGTCTCATTCAACACTCAGGAAAGTAGAATGAAATAGAGCACTAACCAATATTGGAAAAGATGCATCGAATTGAGCTATGTAGAAGAAAATACTTGGAGAAATAAAAGGAACGTGCAACAAAATATCATAGGGTTCCAGCAGTTTGGGAAGCTCGATATCTCCTCTAAAACTCTGCAAAAATTCATCGTGTGTCCCAAAATATACTAGACACTCTCCCTAAGCTGTCTGTGATGGAAAACATCCTGCCAGCTCTCCCAACATTTTTTACAGGCTACCTGAGTTGGTTATCCTAGGAAATTTCCTTTTCTACGCTTGAGCCTACCTCTCCATCTTTAAACTAGTCATCTTGGGCCCATTTTCTTCTGTTCTGCCACAGCTGTCCGCCTTTGACTATACTCCTTTATAGGACTCCCACCTGCATTGCACCCATCACATTTCAATTACTAATAGGGTGTCTGCCTGGTTCTTACATTGCATTTTTAGACAGGTGCATTTTGTTCTCTCCACTGACACATCACATATAGTTCAGTCTTCTGTTATGCTTACCTTTGAGGTTGATGTTTTACAGATTTTTCGTAAAGAGCCATTCTTTTATGGACATGATAATTACGATCAACTGGTCAAAATTGCAAGAGTAAGTGACTGAACATTTTACGAGATATTTTTATTTTATGTATGTTATGGGGTGATGATTTACTGCAGCATTTTCCCCAGGTATCGGAAGTTCTGTACTTGTAAGTTGTAACCTTATGTTTCATTCTGGTGAATTTGTCTTAAATTCCCCTTCCCCTAAATAGTAGATTTTGAGGATGTCTATCTTCCATTCCCATCTTGATGCCTAATTTTTCTGATACCCTTTAGGCAGTTACTTGAATTCCCCTTTTTTTGGTGAGAGGAATTCCATGCCTGAAAAGTCAAATTGGAAACTGATTGAGAAGTGCAAAACGATGTTTACAATAATGTGTATATGTAGTTATGTGCTGAAGCAACTTGCATGTTAAAGAGAGACATGGAAAACATTAGATTCATTTTGTGTTGGCTTTCCTTCCTTTCTATAGGTACTTGGGACAGATGAATTGTATGCATATTTGAACAAGTATCGGATAGAGTTGGACCCCAATCTTGCAGTACTTGTTGGAAGGTTTATTTGTGATTTTACAAATTTTATTTGTCACTTTTTAGTTTAAAAGGATTATTTCAATTTATGCTGAAAAATGCTCCAATATTGGGACAGGCATAGTCGGAAGCCATGGACAAAGTTCATTAACGTTGAAAATCAACATTTGGCTGTTCCTGAGGTAGAATGCATTATGTACTTAGTGTATGCGTCTACCTTTATGGTCAATGATTTTTATTCTAATTTACACAATTCTTTTTTCAAAGGCTATTGACTTTGTTGACAAGTTACTGCGATATGATCACCAAGAACGACCCACCGCAAAAGAAGCCATGGTAAAACCTAAGTTTTAATAATCTTTTTTAATTGTTCTAGGTCCAATGACATATTTCTTATGTACTTCTGGTCCTTATTATAAGGCATCTGTAATCACTTCACCAGAACCAAGAAGAGGTGGTTAAGTCATTGACTTTGATTGAAAATGGAATAACTTTATGATTATACCCATATTTAATTGAAATGTTTTCAAATTTGCATTACATTCTTTCTCATAGTTAATGACTTTCAATAAGGTTAATATTAAAATAATTTTATTAATACCCCATCAAGTAACTTATTAGGACCACCAATCTCTTCTAGAAGGTCCTTTATAATAAGGACTGGAGGCTGTATTGGGTAAAGCTGGTGGTCTGTCACTCTGTTGGCCCAGTACTCCCTCTAGCTTTTATGACTTGACTCTATAAATCCTGTTTTTTTTTTTTAATAAAAAAATTAATTTTGTCCTGGAATTCCCTGCTAAGGAAAAGAGTCAATTGCAAATTTGATAGTTCTAGCGTGATCTTTCATTTTGTGGTGTCTATTTTCACCTATGAATGTTTATTCTTCCCAAAGAAAGAAAAAGAAAAGGCTGGTCAATTTCTAGGAACCCTTCCTAGAAGGTGACCTGAGATTCTTCCCGATCCGTTTTGTTGCTATTGAATGGAATTTACATTTTCACCGGAAAAGAAGCTGGCCAATTTCTACGCCCAGTTTGTGTTTGTAAATGGTCTGTTGAGCCTGCTGGCAATATGTTATTGTGTTTAATGCTCTATTTGCTTAAATTATGTGCCTCATTTCTACCCATCTGCTAATACGAACTTATCATGTAAACATATAGAATGCTGATTGACGTGTAAAATATTATTTCTGTACAGAGCCATCCTTACTTCAATCCTGTTAGAAATGCAGAAAGCAGTCGAACTCGTGCTCATTGATTTCTGCTTGATATGGTACTTGCTGTTGGTCACGGTATTACTGCCTCTGGATGACAGGACTTATAATTCTGGTGGAACTTGCTTTTTAGGAGATTCTGCCCATATTCTGTTGTAAAAGTCATTTTGCATAACTCTTGCCTGTTTTTTTTTTTTACCTGGTCATATTCCGGTTTCTCAACAGTTTCATTGGTTTGTGTGCTTCCTAATTTCGGAATTAATTCTTGGTTCAATTGAAGTAATGGCGTCTCTTTTTCTGTGTTTGAACTGATAATCACTTCAACTTTCGGTAGATTTATTATATTCTGGAGTTGGGAATGGGGATAAAAAAAATTGACTGGAGTTCACAATAAGTTCTCGCTACATTTCTTTGGTTTTCTGAGATTGGTGTTTGAATGTGATAGAAATTATGGAAATTAAGGTAGTATATTGATGGCACATTTTGGACAGGAGTAGTTTCTCTATAGTACAGTTTTATTCGCTTCATCTCTACCTTAGTTTTTTTTTTTTTTAAATAATACAATTACCCATTATTTGAAGTTGAGCCAGCTAAGATCATGTTGGCAGTAAAGCTCTCCCAATGAGAATTGAAGGAATTAATGTTTTGGACAAAGCTACGCGGTAAGTGTTTGGATTGTCTTGTGGTTTGGATTGGATAAAAGCGAAGTGATGAGAATTAGTATTATGTTGATCGACGTCCTCGTTTCATGTAAGAATTAAATAACTTCAATCATTACATAGAAAATTCCATCTATTGATCAAAACTTCTACGCACAATCAATAGGGATAGTTTGAATAAAAAATAAATTTTAGAGATAGAGTAGATTAAAGCCTAATACTTAAGACCAAATCAAGCCCCTTATCTCGCAGACTTCAGCTAGGGTTGGTACGTTTATTGGCGGGAGATGAAAATGTTGCGAGGCCCATCATCAAGTACATTTGCATTTCTGCAAGCCCATCCTTAGCTCATTCATTGGCAATAAAAGAATAAAATTGAAGGAATACTTTTACCCAAGAAAGAAAAATTGAAGGAATATCATTAGCATTACTGTAGCTAAAAGGAAAAACTGGATTTGCCCTTGCTTAATTTTCAAAAACTCTAATATTTTCATTAATTTATTTTTTTTTTTATATTTGAAGGATAATTTGGTCATTAAACATCCCTATCTTATTTAAGTTTGGGTGATATTGTTCCATTGCAAGGCTCATTCTCACTCTGTCCTATTCCAATTCCTCTAGAATTCATTTCAATATACCAAAGATACAAGTAGTTTTGAAAGACTCCTTATTCCCGACTGGTGCTCATCGGAATGTTAAGTACAATTGAAAATGTGAATCTCTTACATATGGGCTTCCCACCCCCACCCAAAAAAAAAAAAACAAACATTTGTTGATCTCTCTAACATCTGGGTTTCAAGATGACAAGTATCATCTAGAATGGTACTGTCTTCTTTTTTTATGAGTTTCGTGCATGTGTTACTTTTCATTTATTTTGGGCCTATAAAAAGCATCATCCATTAGGTTGATGGATCAAATGTTGGGCTATTGGAGTCCAATCAGAATAGTCCATTTTATTTGCTTTCGAACCCCATCGGGAGGTGCACTTTCCTTTCCATGAAATTTGTTTGTCTATCATTTCAAAGTTATGCGGTTTCATATCAGCTTAACAAATTTTAATTTTTTTTACTTGAAAAACAATCAATATATAGTATAAAAATTATACGAGGTTACATTATTCAGGATAGATGGGCAAATAAAAGGACATCACATGACTACATTTTAATTCAAAATTTTAAGACTTAAGTTTATAAGTCTTTTCTAACAATTGATTATCTAATGCGAGAGTTTTTACATCAATTCAAATCTACTCTCACTTGCACATCCTGATATCTGAGGTTTCATATGCAAGATGTTGCATTGTTTACGAGCCATAAAACAGCATTCCTTTCATCAATTATATATATATATAAAATATTTCAAACATTTTTCATGTGAATCAAGAAAATTTATTAAATTAATTTTTTAGAAAAGTATTAAATTATTTTTTTTTTCAAAAATACTCTAATATTTCAATTGCACCCTATTAATTAAAAGAAGGGAGAATCACATCTAAGGACTTGACAATAAAGTTATTTGCAAATAAGGATTAATAACAAATTACATTTAAAAAAAAAAAGTTCATGTTGTCATTTTAATAACAATTCATTTTGTATTAATCTTTATTACCAAATAACTTTCTTAGCTTGCTAGATCTTTGGATGTGATTCTTCCTTAAAAGAAATCTCTGTATACCTTACTAAATTATTTAATATTCCGAGTAAACACCTTATAATTTGAACTAATTAATTTTCAACTTTAGAAAGCACCTACTTATACAAGGATCCGATAGAGTATGGTATTATTTAGAAGTTTGTATGAATATAGAATTGTTAAGAAATCAAACCCGGGTAGGTTGATATGTATGGGATATTAATTTATTTAAAGAACATGTTCACATTTTGAGTATTACATTCCTCTCAGGAGCAAGCCAAACGGAACATGTTCAGTCGGTACAATGCATTGAGATATATGTTACATGCGGGTTAAGTATTTCTATTTTGAGTTTGCCTAACGAAGAAACTGACATGATAAAGTTTGGGATGAGCGAGGGAGACACAAGTAATACGACTAAAGGGAATGTCGTTTTGTGCATTAATTCTCTCTAGTCTCTTGCGGTGACACATGAACGTTATGCCTCTGAGTTGTCTTCGATCAATACTTTACACAATCGAATCCACCGAAAGTATATAAATATGGATAAAAAACGAGTTGGTATATTAGTCAAATGACGTAACGAAATATATTGTTATTTGGCAATTTTGATGGTGGCACACAGCTCATAAGTCATATGTAGGTGCATGCATGGAAGGCTTTCCTTATTCGGTGCAAGTCGCTTATCTACGATTTGTAAGTAAATGGAACACGTCCACGCATGCCATCTTGAAACGACAAATTAAGACTTACGCATGAATCCATAATTCCGAATTGTGATGGATGAGAATAGAATATGATGGACGAGACGAAAAGATCTCTTCTTAGATATGGATGGATAGTGCAGAGATATACATAGAACTAGTAATTCAAGTTAATCTCGAACCCGTTTGAAAAAAATTTAAAGTAGGTTTAACTATATGGCATTTTTTTAAAAAGTAGAATATTTTAAGTTCCATCTAAATAAGTCCAGACTTCAGAATTACATGCTTCATATAAATGTAGAGTTAATAATTTAGTCCAAATTCAATGGGCTTGCTTGAATCCGCCTAAAAAAAATCAAGGCCAAATTTGATTATATAAGCTTTTTTTAAAATGTATGATACTTTAAACTTAATTTAAATAAGTTTAGCTCGAGTTGAAACCTATTCAAATTATCAACTATATAGAGAGACCTACACTGATTTGGGACAAGTTGGAGAATGAGATCCTTTTATATAGAAGTTGTACCATTAACATGGTTTTATTCTCAGTTTTTTTTTTTTTGGTTCAACGTGAAATTAAGAGTTCTTAGAGTTTGAATTCAAGTCTTCTAATTAATTAAGTTAGTATAACTCTTGCCGGTTAAAGTGAGCGTCCAATAGTAGGCGCGATGTGAAACCTTATTGCTATGTGGTTGCCTCATTTTCCTCCTTTAAGGGATGTGCCACTTCATTTGTGCTTTCATCAAAACATCTTTTTCTACATTTTCTTTTAAGTCTAAAAACTGGATATCATACCAAATTTTAAAATTAATAATTTATTATAAATAATATTCTTTCTTTTAAAATTATAAGGCATTTTTTCTTACTCCCTCCGTCCTTATATATAAGAGGTTTTTTAGAATCTTTTTTCATTTCTAGATATAAAAGGTTGTTGGCATATTTATTAATAAATGGATCATTATATCCTTATTACATTAGAAAGGAAAAAAAGATAAGTACTCTTATTAATTTACTTTATAAAAAGAAATTCATTTTTTATTTACAATAATTAGGGACAAAATTAAAATGCTACTATACTTTTAAATAAATAACTAACTTTTATTAGTTTATATGATTCAATTAAAAACCTTTTATGTACAGGGATGGATGGAGTGGGTAAGATGTTAAAAAAAATTAGACCTTTATTTGGGTCTTTCAATGTGCAGTTAATAAAATTTTTCCAAAAACACTCTCAATTAAAAATGTAATTAATAAGGTGCTCAAATTAAGATGCCATAGTAAATAGGAGTAAACATTGAAAGGAATGTATATTTTTAAAAATAATTAACTAACTCATTAAAGATGTTATTCAATTAAAACATGACTTATATTTTCTTTAATCTTATTTATAAGTCACTTTTAACATGTTTCATCGAAATCAAGAAAAATCTTAATTAACCTCATTAACTTTATCTTAAAATTTAATAAATTTTTACCCTTACTTTTAATAAATGTTTTTAAATTTTATTGCTAATATTTTTATTTAAAACATTTAATAAGAGTAAAAATGTAAAAAGAAGCATTGAGAATTAACAAGTATCTCATAAATATGATCAAATTTTGCTTTCTTTCTCTACCTTATAAATAGAATCAGAGGAGTAATATTAAAAGGAAGGATACGTATGTAAGTTATATTTTATATTTGACACCACACTGACGTTCAATAATTTCTCGATTCTTAGCTTGTTCAGCGTTTAAGACACCCAAATCCCAAACATCTTGTCCATGTCCTCTAATACATGCATTTCCATGCAGGTCAATTAACTCATATCACGAATGAGCTCATCAAGATCTATCAAAACTTTCTCAAATTTATATAGAAGTTCTGGAAACAAATTTGAAAAATGATTGAGAAAAAAACTCTTGAATACTCTTCAATTGTTGCTTTATTTCCATTGAAAAACAGTTTTAATTAATTACAATGAGATTTGTCGTCCCAATACATAACTTTCACTTTCATATGCTATAAATTAAAAAAAAAATTTGTGAGGTCTACGTTAACACAGATACCTAATAAGATTGGAATTTAACTTTTGCCAACCGTAAATATTATTTTTTTTCAAGATATGGAGGGTAAATATATATATATATATATTGGATAGACCTACATGAGTATTTATGGCAAAAAACGCTTCCATATGCCTACAAGAGTGTTTCAAAAATGTTTCTGGACATACGAGAGCTCCGTTTTCGGAGCATTTTGAAAATGTTTTGAAAAGTTAAAATTAATCATTTTGAAAAGCCTTTTTTTTTTTTTGTAAAAGATTATAGTAGACAACTA